CTTTACTAAACTTACAAATTAGTTTTTTAAACGAATGGTAAATGTGCATGATTCGACAAACTTAGAAAAATATTAATACATACATCCCTTCAAATCCTAAAAATATGCAATACTTCCCCTGAATATATGCAATAAAATATAATTTTAACAATTTAAAAGTGTACGTTAAACTTCATAAATGTTTTATTATTATTCTTTTTAGCTAGATTGTGTATGCAATTTATTCTTCACTTTTTGAATAACGCGCAATATTTCGACACAACTTATATTTGTGAAAATTAAAATTCTGACATTTTAAAAATTTTCGAATTAAAAAAAAAAAGAATGGCATGAGTGTGTGTAGCGTACAATTTCCACATGTGCTACAAGTTGGAACTATTCTAGAATTGAATTAATGAAAACAGCCACAATTTAAGGAATGTGTTAAGATTTGTCTATATATAAGACAGATGACTGTATATATAAGAATTGTAAATAAATGTCAAATATTATACGATACACTCTGTGTACTTGCAATACATTGTAATATGCCTGTAATATAGTATGAAATATGAAAGTTGTTATAGTGTTGTTATGGATTTCCTTTTTTTTAATTTTTCTCTCTGAATTTAAATGTTTCTATGCATATATGGTAAAAAAAAAAGTGTTTGCAGATGTAAAATGATGAGAAAACGGTAAAAAAGAATTTTGTCCTCTTCTTTTTTTTTTCTATTTTTTTATTTATTAATGCGATCGTATTGACCATGTATGTATGCTTAGAAATCTAGGAAATCTAATATACTGTATGATTATTCAATTTAAATTTTTTTTTTGCTCTATGACTGTTACATGTGTACCTACATAAATGTACATAAAAATATGTGAAAATATTGTTGTTGTTGCAAATATAAAATATTTTTTTTAAATAAATTTTTTATTTTTCAAATTTCATCTTCAATTTATTTATTTTTTTTTTCTATAAATATTTTTGTAAAAGTTGTTTTATATTTGAATTTCGTGCAATTTTAATTCTGCAGAAGGAAATAACAAATAATAGAAATGAAAACAAAAATAGAAAATAAAAACCGTGATGATAGGCGACAGCAGTCACAGCACCTTTAAGAAACCTATAGCAAAGTGATTAAAATCATTAGTTTTTATGGTGAAAAGCGAAGGTGATTGAAATGATTGAAATGTTTTGCTGCTGCCATCTTATGAGCGGCATAAGAAGATAAAACAAAGTAAAGAAATTTTTCATTTTTTCTTTTTTTTATTTGTTCGCTGAGGAAAACACAAAAATTATTTTAATTTTATTATTTTTAAAGGAGAAATAATTTAACGTTTTATAGGTAATCGTGACATAGCGCCATTAAAGTAAATTTTTATATTTATTTTATATGTATATTAGGATGTGTATTCTGATTGTATAAATATATATAATAATGTGTTTTTAAAGTACCAGCAACATACATTTTTAAGTTAATGAAATTGAATAGAAAAATTTTGGGCTTCTGAATATTTTCAATAAAAAAAAATTTATAATATATAAGACCCTTCAATTGTATTTCCTTATGATTTGTTAAGGAATTATTTAGATTTTTTTTAACAATTTCAAATCAATTTTAATATTTATACAATATGTAAGTGTATGTCTCTACATTACAATATTTGTGCAACGTGCTTCTGCCCTTTAATATATTTTTTGGTACTTAAGGAATTTTAAATCGTTATTTAGGTTTTTCATTATATTTTTTTTAATGTTTGAATTAGCACGTGTAAATTTGTCACGAGTCTCCTTACCGGATATTTTGTATAAATTTTAAAAATTATGATATTATGACTAAAATTATGTGTACACATATGCTTAAAGAAAACATGAATGTGCTTTCAATGATCATTAATAAGTTGTTAGCATCATCAAAGAGTTCTTGAATTATAGCATATTGTTTGAAATTTGTCACAACATAGTTAGTGTATTTGCACGAATTATTAATTATAGAAATAGCATGAGAACTACATACCACTTCAAATTATAGTATAATTTTAATTGCTAATTCAATTTTCAAAATAGTAGTCATATCTAAAAAAATAGTTCATGTTAAATTAGATTACTGTAGTTCGAATAGCGTTGCTATTAGAGATGTGATTACTATAAAAATGCGTCATGAGCATAATGATGTCATTATAATTATCTATCATGTGTACAATAAATTCGGTTGCACAAAATTCCTGCATTGCATTGTTAGAATAGTTTTTGATATAATAAAGAATAAAGTTGTGTAATAATTAACATATGGACCCTCATTGTAATTATATTTTATTCAGTAAAAATTAGTAAAATAACAAGTTCTAACAAAAATCGTTATTATTTAGGACATTCTTTATTTACATACTGTATATTATATGATTTCCATTAATTGTTTTAGAAATAGTTAATTTAAACATGAATATTAACTTATAGTCAATAGTTTTTTTAATTATTTTCGCCCGCAATGAAAGCAGTAATTAGACATAAATACACCTCCCATTTGCCAAAAAAATGTAACTTTAAGGTTTTTAATAGTTAAGATCTCATTTTTTTAAATAAGAGAATAAAATATAAAATAAGATTTTTATATATTATCATTTCTATAGATCAGATATAACTCGATTCATTTCGTTTTAATTTTTTTTATTGCATATACATAGAAAATATTGTAATAATGTTACAACAATAATTATTATTATATAAGAATAATAGTTTTATTCGTTAAAAACAAAAGTTAACAGCAATTTGAACATTTAATATGGCTTATTAATAAAGATTAAGAGAAAAAATTATAGAAAAAAAGTGAAGATAAACAGGTATAAATCATCCAGCAAATATATAATTGTAATATATAAGTTTATTTTATAATGTAGATAGGCAGGTGGGTACAGTGTACGAATATATTATCATTTTATAGATACGAAATCAATTTACATAAATAAGAGAATGTTTTGTAACTATTATGTATAAACACATTTATATCTAATATAGTATTCATATACTATATAATAATACAAGTATATTTAGGTGATGATAGACTATAGATCTAGCTACAGCCCAAATATAAAATTAATTCTTATTTATTTGATTTTTTATGAGTATATATACTTTAATGATTTTCATCTTATAGATAGATTAATTTTTCTTGTTTTAATAAAATTGTTTTCCTCATCTCTTTAAAGACAAATATTTCACTTGTTATTTTATTTATGTCAAATTTTCCATTTTTCTTGGTTTTTCTTCTTTTTTTTTTTTAAATATTTTGTAAAAATTTATACAACTCTATTTACTTATTACGTGATTTTATTAACTAAAACTTTAACGCTCATCTTCACTTTCATTTAAGTGAAAGGAGTTTTACTATTTTTTTTTTCTATTATTTCTACATAGTTTTATGTAAATATCTACATATAATTTAATAGGACTATTGAATAATAATAATATTTAATAACTTTTATCTATATAGTGTTTATAGTGACTCCGGCTGTCTTTAAAATTAAAAAGGAAAAAAATTGTAAAATTTTAAAAGAAAAAAAAAAAACCAAAATAGATTTAATATTATAAATTATGAGAAAATTATTTTTTGAAAAAAAAAAATATTCCAATTATACGCGTCTATCTATAATACTTAGATGAAAAATGAAAATGTATAACGTTATAACTGAATAAATTTTTTTTTGATAAACTCGAATTTGAAAGTAGAAATACGCTAATTGATATTTGATACAAAATACTGTTGTTTTTTTTTAAATAAAAATTGTTAATAATTTTGCTTCCTATTAAAAGAAAAATTAATTTGTTTAAAAATCTTATTTGGTATTTTACTTATGCTATTACATAAGATTAGTTCAATTTTACAAACACACTACTTTTAAATTTACAAGTTATATTTTAAATAATTTCCCTGAATATAATACAATAAAAAAACATGGGTTAAAAATACATTTTGAAAATATTACTTATTTTAAAATACTAATTGTATTGGTTTATATAATTTAATAAATTAACTAATTATTATACAACTATTATTTATGTATATTTAACAGTCATGTTTGTTTAATAATCATGTACATATATTTAACAGTTATATATTTAAATGGAAGAAACAAGTACAGTTAAGAACGGATGCATAACGAGTAAACACAAAATTCTCATAAGTGCTTGTAATTTCAGATTTTCAAAATATTTATTCAAATGTTCAATTTTGATTTATTAATTCAAAAAATTTCCAATTCTTAATAAATTTGTTTGATAATTATTGCAATTCAATAAATCAGGCACAATAATAATGTTGTAAACTTTCAGCTACGTTTTTTGCACTTAAATTAATATATATATAGGATTTCAAATACCTTTTATAGACATGTATTATGTAGTATTACTAATCTTAATATATTCATTAAAATTAGAAGTCTCTAAAAATAACATATCAAAAATTGGAAATTTTGTACGCACATTCATTTAAACAGGCCCAAATATTATATTACAGAACAATATTAAATTACATATATTAAATTGAACTATAAAAGGTATGAAAACAAATTGAATATTTGATATTTTTGAAGGCATAATTTCCATATTTATAAAAAAAAATTTTAATTTCATTTTTTTATTTTTGTTTTCATCGAATTTAAATATAATTGTATTTCCAAATTGCTATTTTAAGTAAATGATAAACAATTTTCGTACCTGTACAATATGAATTAAGTTCACAATCAATAAAAAATGATTTATGATAATTTAAAGTGTTATAAGGAAATGGATAAATTGAAAAATAAAATTATATGATGGAAAAATAAAAAAAATATTGACTCTATATTAGCATAGCTATTAAAATTCTTATAAAAATAAAAATATAATTACACATTATATTCAAAAATGATTTTTCCATCAATAAAGTACCAATTACATTGTTATAAATAAAATGTTTCCGTTATACAAATTACATAAATGTTTGATAAATAATTAATTTTTATAAAATTTGCAAGTCAATCAAAAATAACTAATAAATTTAAATATTTGTTATTTGTTTCATAATAATTTCATGTTATGGAAAGTTGGAATTGCTAAGTTGTTAAGTGTTTGATTTTTTAATTTAAAGCAAAATACAGGAAAAATGCATATTTGTAGCCTATTCATAAGCAATAACGCCAAGTATCCATAAATCACACCAAATAGAATATTTTTCGAGGGCATCAGCAATGTGTTGTAATGTCACTGGTAACTAATCAAGCCAAATATGACAGCTTTATTTATTAACAAATCCATTTGATTAGAGAAGAGCTGTATTGCTTGGATAATTATTCTTTAGTGAAATGGATATTTGGAAATTTGTATTAAGATTCATAATTATCACAATCTCAGCAAAGATTTTTTTTTAGATTCAAGACTAATTGAGTCTTCATCAATGTTCTTGATTCACATCAGCGTGAAACTGGTTCGAAATTCGGTGACTACTGTTGCAAGTACTTACTCAAAATGCTTCAAATACGTTTATAATAGAGCATGAATTCTCAAAATGTTCTTCGGATGAACCAATATAATATAGTAGAGTTTTCAATATTGTAGTTATTTGCCATCTATCCATGTGAAATATAGTCATAATATATATGTATATCACATAATTGAAGATTAACACCAACATTCAAACTTCTCCAGCTTTTATTATATAATTCAATAGCTAAAGTAACAAAAATAATAAATATTTTATAGAAATTTATTGAATATTTTGGTTAATTTAAAATTAATATGCATAATTATATTAAGTATGTTTGTATAGTGTAAGTTTATTTTAGAGTTTCTTTAACTGCTTATTAATTTTATGTGTTGTTTTCTCTTCATATATTTTCTCACATAGATCACCTTTCTTAATAAAAATTAAAATTTCCTTATAATTTTAAATTTTATGGAAAGCAAAAGAAGTAAATCTAAAAATTACGATGATAAAAAATTTCGATAAAATAAATTTTAAAATCATTTATAATTAAGTAGGTTTTTTGTCTTGTTTTTTTTTTATTTAAAGGAAATTTCAAAAATACCATCGATTTATGGAATATGCTGCAGTATTTATTTTAAGTACAATAAGTAAATATAATAAGTACCTTGTGTTGGAAAGAAAATTGAATAATTTTTGAAGTTCAATTTTACAACTTTTAAATTAGTTATTAATTATATATGGCGTTTTGTAACAGATGATAAAAATAAATTATAAAAAAAAAAATTTGCAATTTTAAGAAATTAAAGGTCATGAAACCTTACTTATACTTATTAAAATGTATATTTGAAGAATTGTACAAAAATTTGCAATCGTGTTCAATAAGAAACACAATATAAAATTCAAAATATGAAAATAAAACGAAAATATTGTTTGCGTTCGATTTCAATATTTTGATTGTTATATGCCCTTAAAATAGAGCATAGAGGACAAAGAAAAGTGAATTATAGAGCGTTATATTGTTAGAAAATTCACAAAAAATTGAGTAAATAATTTCATTAATTGTAGTTTATCTAGTATCAAGGAAGAAAAAGGAAGAAGAGGTAGAGAGATCTTTAAAAAAGAAAAAAGAAAAAGAAAATACCACATACTGAGTTCCAAAAGCTTAATAGGATCGTCTCAAGAATTGCCAGTTTTTGGTATTTTGAGCGGAAGCCGAATGCCTTCTTCTCTTCTAATAAATACTTTCTCGTCCTTTTCTGTCCGTTGGTTCTATAAAACCTATATTTTTCAATATCTTATACTTTATACTGACTAGATTTTCCTTTGTAAACTGTACATTGGTATGTGGTGTTCCACCGACGTGATATAACGTGTGTTTTATTATATAGTGCCCATAAATTAGAGGTTGCATATATGTATGTATTTAATTTCATGTTGTTCCCTGATATTGTAGGGTGTTTCCGTTCACAGTTCTTACGGTGGTTTTTTGGGAACTTATATAAGCATTCCGCATTATAATACCGATTATATTCAATTACTGGATAGTCTTGTTCGTACAACTGAAATAAAAAAAAATTTTATATTAATAATTTAATACAACCAACAAAATGAAGATATATGTATATACAGTTTGAAAATATTCTCTAATTTTTAACGCCCATTTCAAGATCTAGAATAGACCTTAATGAAATATGTTATAATACACAGTTTTAATTTACTTAGTTGTAAATAAAAATAGTGGATAATTCAATTTTATTCAAAAATGATATTAAGTAACTCTTTAGTAAAAGCCACATTAACTCAAAAATTTACTAACATAAATTTAAGAAAAAAGTAAAGAAGGAAATCTGTATAAAAAATTAAATTGAAATAATTAAAATTACATAACATAACATCATCATTATTTTGGATCAACTGCTACTTTAATACCTTTTTTCGTAAAAATTTTCTTATACACATACATACACATATACATATACGTAATACCTTATACGTACTTAACATTATCTATTTTGGTATGATGATGGTCTTTCGAAAACGAAAAGATAATAAATGATTTTATAATGAGAATTACAAGTCATCTTGTCTCACTCTAACATATTTTATCAGTACTATATTTTGTCAGGCTCATTTCAAAATTTTAGCATTAAATTTTTAGCTAACATAAAAAATTTTACATAAAAATTAGTTTTGCTAATTTTATTTTTCTTCTTGAGTTTTTCCTTTAAAGAGATGAATGAGTATAAGAAAATGACTACGAAGGCATAATTATAATAAAAATTTAAAATTAATTATAATCAATTTTCATCTTCATATAATGGTAGTAAAAGTAGTAATGGAATTGATAATAGCATAATTGCTTTGATGGTAAATATAAATTTAATGGGTGGTCGGTCACTGGTCTTATTTTACTTTTATATTTATTTTTTTATTCCATTTTCTTTTAAGATTATTTTTACATGTTTCCATATTGTATTAATGTTGAAACTATATTAAAACTGATTAAAGTTCTATAATGTTTAATAGTGTGTACGAGAAAAAAAAATTGCAAATTTTATTACAAAAATTTTGCTTTTTAAGGCATAGGTAAATAGGATAGATTTTTCAAAACAATTTCGCTTTAACTATAATTAATTTTAATAATTTATTAATTTAGTAAGTTTTCCCATATATGAATTTAATAATATTATCATTTTAGAAAGGAATATAATAATATGTAAATTGATGTTACATGATCTATCTTTTAATTTGCAATTGAGGATGCTGTTAATTAACTATATACTGAAATAATTAATATGTGGATGAAAAATATTGGATGGATCCTCTCTATTTTATTCCTTATGTGGAAAATGTTTCCATTTAAGATGTAAAAAAGTAATTTATAATATTTCAAAACACATTAAGTAAGTAAAAGAAGTTAATATGCAATTAAAGTGAAAAATATATGCACATTATTACAAAAAAATATTTGTTTGTTGTTCTGGCGTACGATAACAAGAAAATTTTATAAAATATTTCTAAAGTAAAGTAACAAAAGATAACAATAACTTTCAAGAAAAATTATACAAAATATTTAAGTTTTCAAATTTTATGTATTATTTCAGATTTTTAGAACATAATCTGTGACATTTTAGAATGGAGGAAACAATAACATCTAAAATTCAACAATTCAACAACGTCACTCAACAATTAGTTGCGGAAATTATTACATGTGAAATAAATTAAGTACAAATCTGGCTGAATCAAGTAATTCGATTTGCAAGGATTGATCATCATGGATTAGAGCTGACTGCAGCTAAAATATAAAAAGGAACCATTACCAAAGGATAGAAGGAATAAAGTTTTACGTTTTTGAGGTATACCTAAAAGGCACCAAATAAACTGACAGTTGTGATGGGAAATATAAGCGCTCACTTTTGTTTTTATTATTAAATTTTTAATAGATTAAAAATAGTTTTGGAATTTTTATAATACATATACAATTGAAGTTTTTGGTATTTTGAGCGGAAGCCGAATACCTTCTTCTTTTCTAATATAATTGAGATACAATACCTATTCATATACATGTTCTTGTGATAGTGTGTTTCAAATAGAAGATTGCATGTAGCATCTCAATGTAAACAATACTTAGTAATCATGTGGATTAAAGTATAAAGCAATGTGAAGAACATTTCGTCGATAATTTCTTCATAACTCTGTTGCTCAGTTGATAGAGCGTCCACCTAGAAAGCCGTAGGTCACTGGTTCGAGTCCAGTTCGAGGAGAAATTTTTTTAATTTTTCTGCCTTTAACTCGTTCCTTTGATTACGTCATCCATCTGTTCTGCAGTTGTATGAAGAAACTACTATTAAGTTACGTTATTATGAAGTTTCCAACTTTGAAACAATTAAGTTGCACAAATAAAATATAGAAAATAAAATATTTATGAATAAAAGTGTTTTCCGTATTATGAATAAATCTTATATAATCTTTCTTTTTGATACAATTAAAACACAGCGAAAAATATTTGATATTTTATGAATAAAATAAACTATAAGAAAAATTGTTTCACATTATACTAAAAACGCTTCTCAATAATTTACGTTTTACAAACACAATTATTTATGTCGTGACATTTCAATCAATGCGAAAATTACTTATAAGCTAACTCTGTCAAAATATTAAAAAGATGAAAAACGTTCATAAAAATAAAATGTCATTTATAATTGCATGCGAAAATCCACACATAAATAAAATGTTTTTATATTATACACAAAAATTGTAAAAAAACCTTATTCATAAGTCAAAATTAAATAAACACTACATAATAAAAGACAGCAGTATTTTACATTATAACAAGTTAGTCATATACCTATTTTATATTATATTTTCAATAACGATTATAATTCAAGCTTCTCTTTAATAGTCATCGTCTGTCCAACAAATTAAATATACATACACGTGTATAGTCATACAAATTAATATATTTGTAAAAATCCAAAAGTGAATTGTATACCATAGCGTGCATTAAAAATTTTTAGTGATACATGATAATATATGATGGGCTGATTTTAATTCCAACTGTGATATCGTACAGACTCTTGTAGCTTTGTAGAATATGAATATGTTATATATAGATTTTTATTAAAGTAGATATACTAAATACTCGTATGTACGTATGTATGTGTTTTTGTCCAAGATAAATTTGATAATCAATTATAAGCAGAAGTGCTTGCAACTACTTAATTTTTTTTACCGTTTTCAATATTCCTTTAAGAACAGCTGCATTTAGTCATATTGTAGATTAGATATATAGATGGCGTTGAACCTTAAATGAAACAGATTTTATAGTATAAAAAAAATATTTTTAGTAAATATTAATATAGTTTATGCGAGTAAATTGTTTTTAAATGTTTTTTTATGCAAAATCTCCTTAACATTTTCCAATATTATTTTTATTATCAATATCAAAGGTTGCTTTGATTCAAGTGGTGGTGGTGTTTGCAGTTTGACACTGCCTTCTGGCCGAGATTTCTTTCTAATCGTGCTTTTTAAATCAGATAGGACGTTTTACTTTACAGCATTTGTATCTGTTTGTGTTGAAAATTAGTTACCAGGACTTCCAAACTCTGATGCTGCTTAAACAATTGTTGTTTTTGGGGCAATGTCGAGACGATTTTCTCCCTTTTTCGGCATTTTGGTGGGGCAGTTTTGATTGATCGGGTGATGACTGAATTTCTACGCTTAATTCTTTAACTGTCCTTATGAGACTACTTGGTGGGTTGGTTATAGATTTTCTGCTGTATAACCTTCTTTAAGGTGTTTTCGCAACTTAGCTTGCAAATTTAGCGATTTGCCAGTTTTATATAATTATTTTTTGGAAAATGTTAACCAAACATTCATTTCAATGTTTATTTGCAGGATCATTTTTACTGCTTGTTTTTAGTATTTTTCTCTAGTTTTTTTACGGCTGATGTTTTTTCAGTATGTATAATATCTTCCTTGTGCAATGGTTATTCTTCGGATTCCCATAATCTCCTCGTAGTAAACACTTATGGTATAGTATAAATGTGACTACCGCTATAACATGTACACTTAACGCCATGTATAAAATTTTAATTAATTTTCAAAAAACTTAAATCAACTTGTTGCAATATTGCACTATAAATATAATTTATTGACTTTCTTACATACTTTTCAGTTTATGAATTATTACTAATTCTTTTTCTGTAAATTATACAATTCACTAATATTTATTAAATTACAAATAATTACATTCTGAGATTACAAATATAATTTTTATTATAATAATATCTTAAAAATGAACAGATCAACTATATAATATTATATTGCAATTACATTTTCTTTCATTTTCTAATTTATTTATTTTTTTTTCTAATTTTGAACACTCGGAAGACATGGAATTTTCATGATAAAATCCAGTTTTTTTAGTTTTTCTTTTATTTCTTTTGAAGTCTTCTTTTTTAAACTTATGGGATGATGATGCGTCTCATTGCATAATAAATTTTTTAGTATAAATGACAGTATTGTGTGTGAACGCACATGTAATATACTCGGTATGTTAAAGTAGGTAAAAACTATATGAAAAAGAGTGTTGAAGTAATCTCAAAGGTAATTTGTTCGCGACGAACCTAACAATGATTTTACGATTTTGATTTTTTTTAACTCTCTTGCTTTGAATTATTATAATTTAAAACGTAAATTGGTTGTTTTTGCAGTATTAAATGTTTGTTTGTTTGATTTTTTTTTAAATAAAAAATTAAGAAGAAAAAAATTTGTACAACATTTTCATTTTTGAATCAATTAAGTTCAATAAACTTTTCAAATAAAATTAAAATTAACAAAAAAAATAAAGGAGTTGCGATACAATTAATATAAAATAAACAAAAGTGAACTGAAACTGAAAGTAACAAAAAAATTAAGAAGAAGAAGAAGGAAAAACAGAGCATCGCGAATGGCGAGCAGATCACCAAGATGACATTTTTTTTTGCTTTGTTTCAGTTTCTTCTTTTTTTCGGTCAGTGTCTCGTCTTGCTTTTTTTTTTGGTTTTTTTCTTTC